GGGATTTCCCAGACAAGAATACTGGAGTGGGCTGTCATTTCCTTTTCCAAGGGATCTTTCCGATCCAGGGATTAAACCCACATCTCCTGCATTCCAGGCAGATTTTTTTTTTAAATTTATTTTAATTGGAGGCTAATTACTTTACAATATTGTGGTGGTTTTTGCCATACATTCACATGAATCTGCCATGGGTGTACATGTGTTCCCCATCCTGAACCCCCCTCCGACCTCCCTCCCCATCCCATCCCTCAGGGTCATCCCAGTGCACCAGCCCTGAGCACCCTGTCTCATGCTTCCAACCTGGACTGGCGATCTATTTCACATATGGTAATATACATGTTTCAGTGCTATTCTCTCAAATCATCCCACCCTCGCCTTCTCCCAGAGTCCAAAAGTCTGTTCTTTACATCTCTTTTGCTGTCTCGCATATAGGGTCATCGTTACCATCTTTCTAAATTCCATATATATGCATTAATATACTGTATTGGTGTTTTTCTTTCTGATTTACTTTGCTCTGTATAATAGGCTCCACTTTCATCCACCTCATTAGAACTAATTCAAATTCATTCTTTTTAATGGCTGAGTAATATTCCATTGTGTATATGTACCACAGCTTTCTTATCCATTCATCTGCTGATGGGCATCTAGGTTGCTTCCATGTCCTCCAGGCAGATTCTTTATCACTGAGCCACTTTACACTCTCTTCTACTGTCAAAATTCCCAGATTTAGTATTATTATTTCATTCCAAGAAGGTAGGTAATAGAGAAATAATAGAATCTCTCTCCTTGGATTATAGCAGCAAGACAAGAATGCTTCTTTTTTTTTTTTTAGCTGCACAGTGCAGCACATGGGGTCATAGTTTCCTGACCAAGGATCAAACTCAGGCCCGTTACATTGGAAGCTTGAAGTCTTAACCACTGGACCACCAGGGAACTCCCAGAACACTCTCTTAATCAGTTTGGGCTGCTATAACAAAGTGCCATAAAATGAGTGGCTTTGTTTCTCACAGTTTTGGAGGCTGGAAGTTCAAGGTCAGGATACCAGCATGGTCAGGTTCTGGTGAGGCTTGCAGACTGCCATCTTGCTCAGACCCTCACATGACAGGAAGAGGATGAGAGATGTCTCTGTGGGATCTCTTTTATAAGAACACTAATCCCATTCATGACGGCAGGGCTCTACCTTCATGACTTAATAACCTCCCAAAGGCCCCACCTCCAAATACCATCACACTGGGGACTAGGATTTCAATATATGAAGGGAGGTGGGGGAACACAAACATTCAGTCTATAACAAGCACTAAGGGTAATTCATGCAAGAACTGTACCAACTGCTTTCTTCTCATTGTTCTGCTGAGGACTCCTTCTCTTAACAGTGACCCCCTTTAGTGATCAGGGATCAGGAAAGAAGTGGAGTTGCTTAGTGTAGTAGTTTCCCATCACGGCAGTAACAAATTACTACTAATTTAATGTTTTAAACTAGTGCAACTTTACAGTTTTTAGGCTGGAAATCTGACACAGGCCTCACTGGGCTAAAAACAAGGTGTTGACATGGCTGTGTACCTTTCAGGGTGCTCCAGGGGAGAAACTGTTTCCTTATCTTTTCCCATTTCTTCAGGCCATCTGTATTCCTTGACTTGTGCCTCTTCCTTCATCTTCAGAGCCTGTTATGGTGACATGAGTACTTTTCATATGGTATCTTTCTGACCCGTGTCTGTAGTCATATTGTACTCTGACTCTCTTCTTCTGCCCCCCTATTCCACTTTAAAGATCCTTGTGATTACATTCAGTACAATGTTATTTTTCTGTTTTCAGATCACCCAATTAACTATCTGCCCCAAGTATTAATTCCATCTTAAATCTTCATTCCCCTTTGCCATGTAATTAACACATTCACAGGTTCTGGGTATTGGCGCATAGCCATCTTTGGGGCTCTTATTCTGTCTACCATACCTAGAAATAGGTGTCAAAGTACAACAGGTTGTGGGAGGATCAGAAAAGAGATCACACAGAAAAAGTAACACAAAAGAAGCTACAGAGACATGAATCAGTCTATTTTGATTTATGACTTATCCCTCCATATTATTGCTCACCAATGTTAATTAAAGAGAGAACTTGAGAATATCAAGTATTTCATGTGGGATTGAGGTCACAGGTTGGATTCCCCCAGATGATGGAGATTTCCATGTAGGACATTTATTAGGGAGTGCTCTTGGGATCAACACCTTTGGAAGGGAAGGGAAGGGAAGTAAGAAAGATGGTTTGGGCAGGGAGAAAAGTTGGGCTTCAAAGCAGTCTCAGCAAAGGCCACAGCTAAGCTCCCGTGGAATTTTGATCTGTGGTGAGAGACCTAACCCTTTATACGCATGTTGGGTATGGACAGTCCTGGAAAAGGGGTGACTTTGATAAGACCTCTCACTCTGTAGAGAGACTTCCTAGAAAAGACTGACAGCCTACAGCTACCTGCTAGACACTCCCAGCAGTTAGGGGATAAACCCATCAGTTCTAAAGCAGGGCATCACAAAGCCCACTACACCTAGATTAAGAACTCAAGCCTGGGGTGGGTTTCAGTGACCTGGAGGGGGCCCTCCAAGCATTGGGTATAGGGGACAGTCCAGAACAGGGAGAAAGTGTATAGAAAGAGATGTATGGATTTGCCCATCCAGGCAAAGAGTTGATTCAGAGGGATGTGTCTCATTGCCTCCCAGTACCTCAATCCCTGCAAGATTACTTCCCACTCATTACTAGAAATGTCAGAATGAATGGTGGTGACACTGGCCAAAAGATTCCAGACAACAAGTAGGCTTACACAGAGTAAGCACGATGCTGTCCCGGGCGTGGCTTCTTTATCTCTCACCCCAGAAATCTGCACTCTAACAGCAGAGTCAATTCAGCAATATTTATAGGCTTTGGTGGGTGGTGCACATATAGCTGTTTGGGGGCATTGCCGTAGCATCACATGTCATTACTCTCTGTTATCTTCTCATCTGTAAGAGTAAGTGTATGGTTATCTATAGTCTGTGGATTTGTGAATTATTTCTAAATGAACACTCTCCCATCTGCCTTGTGACTCTTGGCCTCCTTTAAAACTCTCTGTAGTGGTTGGGGGTCAATATTAGTCTTACACATGGGCAAGATAGGAGGCCAGCTGCTCAGGGTCATCAGAAAAACCCTCCAAACCCCAGAGAATCTCCCTAACTTACTAATGCCTGAAGGCCCACCATTAGGGCACAGATCTTTCCATTTTGAACACTGACTCTGATCTAAATCTAGACTTTCAGAAAGGATGACTACATCTCAGTGGAAATATATTTTAGAAATTTGCCTAAAAGAAAATTAAGGATATCAGTTCAGTGCAGTCGCTCAGTCGTGTCCGACTCTTTGTGATCCCATGGACTGCAGCATGCCAGGCTTTTCTGTCCATCACCAACTCCCAAAGCTTGCTCAAACTCATGTCCATTGAGTCAGAGATGCCATCCAACCATTTCATCGTCTGTCATCCCCTTCTCCTCCTGCCTTCAATCTTTCCCAGCATCAGGGTCTTTTCAAATGAGGCAGTTCTTCACATCAGGTGGCCAAAGTATTGGAGTTTCAGCTTCAGCATCAGTTCTTCCAATGAATGTTCAGGATTGATTTCCTTTAGGATTGACTGGTTGTATCTCCTTGCAGTCCAAGGGACTCTCAAGAGTCTCCTCCAACACCACAGTTCAAAAGCATCACTTTTTCAGCACTCAACTTTCTTTATAGTCTAACCCTCACATCCACACATGACTACTGGAAAAACTATAGCTTTGAATAGATGGACCTTTGTTGACAAAGTAATGCCTCTGCTTTTTAATATGCTGTCTAGGTTGGTCATAGCTTTTCTTGCAAGGAGCAAGTGTCTTTTAATTTCATGGCGGCAGTCACCATCTGCAGTGATTCTGGAGCCCAAGATAATAAAGTTTCTCACTGTTTCCATTGTTTCTGCATCTATTTGCCATGAAATGATGGGACTGGATGCCATGATCTTAGTTTTCTGAATATTGAGCTTTAAGCCAACTTTTTCACTCTCCTCTTTCACTTTCATCAAGAGGCTCTTTAGTTCTTTGCTTTCTGCCATAAGGGTGGTATCAACTGTGTATCTGAGGTTATTGATATTTCTCCCAGCAAACTTGATTCCAGCTTGTGCTTCATAGGATATAAAGTGTTTTTAAAGGATATAAGTGCTAGTATTCCAAGGGTCAAAACCATCCACAAGGCTCCCATGCAAAGCCATTTGGCAATAATACTGAAAAAAAAAAAAACCAAAAACCCTTATAAATATTCATACCCTCTCACCTAGTAATTCTCCAGACACAGGAGACACAGGTTCCATCCCTGGGTTGGGAAGATCCTCTGAAGTAGGAAGTGACAACCCACTCCAGTATTCTTGCCTGGAGAATCTCAAGGACAGGGCAGCCTGGTGGGCTATAGTCCATGGGTTGCAAAGAGTTGGACAGGACTGAAGGACTGAGCAGGCATGTAGGCATATAACCTAAGGAAACTAATCTAAATACTGAGAGGACTTTGTACACAAAGATGTTTATCACAAAATAATTCATAACAATGTAACTCTGGAAACCACTTGAATGATAAACATTTGGAAAATGCTCAGGTAAATACTATCATATGCACCCAATGAAAAAAAAATATCCTTTCATTAAAAATTATAGTTGGAAAGAGTCTGCAATAACATAACAAAAATATTTATGCTATAAAAGTGAAAACAATTCTTGCAGGTGCATTTTATCACAGCTATGTAAAAATTCATAGAAATAGAATGAACGAAAATATATGCCCATGGCAACAATGATTTGCTTGTTGGTAGAATTATACGAGCTCTTAAACTCATTTTATTGTGCTCAGTATTTTCAAAGACTGTCATGCCTGGAATGCTTCTTTGCTGCTACGGTTTTAAGCCTGGTGCAGAAGTAGACGGAACTCTGCCGCGGTCGGTTTCCAGCACGTCTCCCAGAGCGCGGATGGGAGATTCTCTAGCGGCGCGACCAAGGTCAGATGGCGGCCGTGGGCGCAGGAGCCCCGGCGACGGACGCGAGAGCCCGGTGCGCGGAGAGCGCTCTTGGCCGGAAAAACCTTTTGCACTCTCCTCTGGCCAAGCCGGGGTGGGTTTAGAGACCTCAGGTCAGCTTCCCGCTGCCAAGGCCAGGGCCCGGAGGAGCCGCCGCGAAGCTCTGGGCTCAGCGGCAGGACCCTCGGCGGCCGCCGTAGTGCGGAGCTGAATCTTTGCATCCCGAGCGCTATTCTAACTGTGCAGTTGGACCAACCTGGGCAATTTCGGTGCATCCTCAGAGCCTCATGACCTTGCTTTCTTCACCTGTAAAATGGCTTCCTACCTCATGGGCCGTATGAAGACTGAATGAGGTAATGCATGTAGAGTATTTATCGCAGCCCAAGCCCGATGTTGAAGCTGAAACTCCGATACTTTGGCCACCTGATGCGAAGAGCTGACTCATTTGAAAAGACTCTTATGCTGGGAAAGATTGAAGGCGGGAGGAGAAGGGGATGACAGACGATGAGATGGTTGGATGGCATCTCTGACTCAATGGACATGAGTTTGGGTAAACTCCGGGAGTTGGTGATGGACAGGGAGGCTTGGCGTGCTGCAGTCCCTGGGGTCTCAAAGAGTTGGACACGACTGAGCGACTGAAGTGAACTGAACTGAAGCCCGATGTGGGCATCCAGCCCAAATGTACCCCTGTTAGGGACAGTGCCTGGTCAACACTCCTGGCCCCAGCTAGGGACCAGTGCCTCTTCAAAGAGATCCCAAATCCCCTTACCCTCGAATAAGGATGATGCTTCTGGAGTGTTAAACAGATTAAACAAGATTATATCATCTTGTTTACATTATGTCATCAGCCACAGGGGCTGATGCTAAAATAAATTATTCCCTCTATTGCTACAGCCACCTTACAAACGGACGTCTGCAGCAACCTCTCAGGGGACAGCTTGCTTGTAAGTTGGAGTTAATAGGTGTGTTGTGAGAGTTAAGTGAGAAAATACACATACAGAACCTGCATTTAATTAGGACTTGGAGAATGGTAGTTGTTTAGTCACTCAGTCATCTTAGACTTGCAACCGCGTGGACTCCTCTGTCCACGGGATTTTCCAAGATAGAATACTGGAGTGGGTTGCCATTTCCTTCTCCGGGGGATCTTCCCAACCCAGGGATTGAACCCACATCTCCCGCATTGGCTGATGGGTTCTTTACCACTGAGCCATCTGGGAAACTCTTGGAAAATGGTAGCAGTTCTTTTTTCACTACACAAGTGGCACCACTGGAAACACCCACCCTTAGCACCTGCTTCTCATGAGTTGGGGGTGGGAGTGGGGCAGAGAGAGGACAGATGCTGCCAGAGCTGAGGGATCCAGAAGGGAGCCAGCCATGCCCAGGCAGCCGGCAGTCTTGACGCTCATCAGTGTCTGCTCTCTGCCCCACCTTGCCTGCTGTTTGTATTTGCCACACCCATCAGTTCCCACACCTGTTCTCTGAGGCAGTGAACACAAGGACAGCTTGTTCTGGTTGAGCACGGTGAGTGTAGCACACGTCAATGGCAGTAGCCCTCAAAGTCAGCAGGTGAAGGTCCCATAACTTCCAGGTCGGTTAGCTTCCTGGCAGTAGTCAACTCAAGGGCCTGCCATGGTCAGTCCCTCCTCCTGTCTGCAGTAAATCAGAATTTATAGAGTACTAGTGATGAGAAAGGGCTACCCAGGAGGCTCAGTGGTAAAGAATTCGTCTGCCAATATAGGAGACACAAGAGACCCAGGTTCCATCCCTGGGCTAGAAAGATCCCCTGGAAAAGGAAATGGCAACCCACTCCAGTATTCTTGCCGGGATAATCCCATGGATAAAGGAGCCTGGTGGGCTACACTCCAGGAGGTCGCAAAGAGTCAGACATGACTGAGCCACTGAGCATGCGTGCAGAGAAGAGAAAATTGACATCTTCATTCCATTGTCCAAAGGAAAGGCATTTCAAGTGCTCTGTGATCTCGTTTAATTCTTATAATCACTCTCACAATGTTCTGTCCATTTTACATATTGGAAAACTGACACTCAGATTAAGAGACTTGTCAAGCGTCACAGCTAGAAAGCAGCAGAGCCAGAATATGAAATAGGCTGATCTATAAACAGTGTGCTCTTCACAGCTACTCTAAATATATGCCCATATTCTCTGCTTTAAATAAAATGCTTTGTGTCTTCATTTTCTGGGGATCTAATAAAGTCTTTTGCAGAACATGTTTTCTAGGTTCTCCTCCACCTCATGAAAGCAAGCTTCCTTCACTAACCTTTTATTCATTGTAAGCACATAATGCATTCAGGCTGAATTGGTAAGCTCAGCACTCTGCTTAGCAGGCTTTGGTTAGGGAATTCAGTTGCAAACTTCCTGCTGCCCACGCAAGTCCTCAGAGCAAAATTCAGCGGTGCAAGACCCCTTGGCTCTGCAGTTGCAATGACATCATGATACAGCCTCCCGGGATCCTGCCTCAGAGGCCTCTCCACCCCCTTGTTCTTGTGAATTCACTTCTCCCTTCTCACTCCAGTTATTGGGACAAAATGTCCTATGCATTCACCTTTACATGGTTCCAGATGTTAGATTTAATTTTAAAAAAATTCTGTGGCAGAAATGTGGTTGTGAGTCAGGGATGCGTACGTGCATGCTCGTTTGTGTGTGAAGCCAGTCTCTCGGCAGCAGCTAAAAATGTGAAGCAGCCAGTCTGTGCCGGGAATTGAGGACACCGTACGCTTGCATTTCTAGGTCTTCTCAAGAGTTACATAACTGCCCCCGAAGCCAGGGGGCAGGAGCAGGGCCAGCCGTGGGAGATGTTTCCAAAGAGGAATGCTGAGGAAGGACTGACCTTGAGAAGATGGGGAGCTGGCCAGGCCATGGAATGTTCCCAGCCTTGGGGCTTAAACAAAAACTGTATTCAGAGGGTGAGGGCTCTGTTGAGAACAAACCCCGTCTGTCTCCCTGCTTTGTCTTGGGGGCTTATCAAGGTGAACCTTTACCCTGCGGGGCACTGGTTATTGAATTTAGAGCCGGGCATAGCTGCCAAAACCGGGCCCTGGTAATCCTCCCAGCCATCTCTAATTAGCAGATTTGGGGGCATCCTGAGGGCCAGGCAGAGGTGAGATAAGAGCTCCAGCCTCATCTGCTCACAGTATCATTGGGGGAGGAGAGTTGTGGGAGGGGCCACAGCTAATCAGTGAAAGCTTATTAAGGGCTCACTCTGTGGTCATCCTTGGGGGAGGGAGGTATCTGATTGGCTCCTTCCCCTTGGGCACCTTGTAGAAGAAACTGTTTGCCACTCTCCCTGCCCGTCTTACTTGTGTGCATGCTAAGTCGCTCAGTTGTGTCCGACTCTGTGATCCCATGGACTACAGCCTGCCCAGCTCCTCTGTCCAAGGGATTCTTCAGGCAAGAATACTGGAGTGGGTCGCCAAGCCCCTCTCCAGGGGATCTTCCCAACTCAGGGATGGAACCTGCTTCTCTCAAGTCTCTTGCATTCGCAAGCAGGTTCTTTACCACTAGTACCACTTGGGAAGCCCCCAGTCTTACTTGACTAATGCTTATTTTGCCTTCACACCTTAACTTAGAGTACTGAGCCCTAGAGCAGCATTTTTCAAGCTGTAGGTCATGACCCATTAGTCGCTTGTCATGACACCATTCAATTTAGTAGGTCATACCCAGCATTAAAAGAAAGGGACCATCCAAGTATATCTGATGTAATAAAGATACCTGTTGTTTCAGTTACCTGTCTTAAATGAATTTATGTTGGTGATTGTCATGAAAAAGAAAGAAAGAAAATTGAAAGACTCCGGCTTAGAGGCTATATCTGGTTCAATCTAGTGTGGGCAAGAAGAATATTTCTTATTTCACTTAAGAAGAAATCCAGAAGTGGGGCAAGGCCCCAGGATACAGACTTCACTTGGATTCAGGCTCCTCTTTGCCACCAGGGACACCAAGCCTTCACGAGGGCTTTATCCTCAGGCTGGTAGCAAGATGGCTACAGAAGCTCCGTGTCCTAGCCAGAGAACACCACAGAAAGGAGAGCCTGGCTCTCGTGACACAATGGGCACAGGTGCTTGTAATGTCGAAAACCGGCATGGGACCAATTTCTAGACTGTACAAGAAATTCCTACAAACCAGGAAAAAAGAGAGCAACCCTAAGGCAAAAATGGGCGGAAGATATGAACATGCAATTTATAGAAGAGGTAACACTAAAAGCTAAGAAACATGACAAAATACTCAAAATCATTAAAGAATATAATGATTAATTATATTCTAAGTATGTCAGTAAAGAAATGTATTCAAGTGAGATTTGTGTGCTTGCATGCCCGGTTGCTTCAGTCATGTCTGACTCTTTGTGACCCTGTGGACTGAAACCTGCTAGGCACCTCTGTCCTTGGAATTTTCCAGGTAAGAATACTGGAGTGGGTGGCCATGCCGTCCTCCAGGGGATCTTCCCAACCCAGGGATTGAGTCGGTATCTCCTGCGTCTCCTGCATTGCAGGTGGATTCCTTATCCACTGAGCCAGCTGGGAAGCCTGAGATTTTTATATCCATTATGTTAACAGAAAACTGGGGAATTCCAGTTGCTGACAGGATGTGGGGACACGGGAGCCCACACATGCTGCCTGTAGGCGTGAGGACTACTGTAGCTTTCCTGGAGGGCAGGTCTTGGTCAGATTATGTAAACACAGCATTATACCATGTGACCAGCAATTCTGCTCCCAAGCAAGTTCTCACGAAGGCCACAAGAGACGGGTGAGGATATTCACTGCAACTTTACCTGTGCTGGAGGGAAGTTGTCTACAACCCCATGTCCATCACTGAGAGAAGAAAGAGGCCAAATGTGGGTGCACCAGAGGCCCTGACAGCAGTTAGAAGTGATGAAGAATCAGAGGTGCCCATGGCGACATGTGTGTATCTTTAAAACACTGTTTTTTGGGGAAAAAAAAATCTACTTGGTGGTTGTGAGGTTTTTAAAAGATCACTTTTTGTTGGAGATACATAGTGAAGTATTAATATTTCTGGGTGAAATGATATGGTGTCCAGAATTTGCCTTAAAATACTCCTGAAGGAAAAAGTGAGCATGGAAGGTGGAAGATAGAGGAAACAAAATTGGCAAAATATTGTAGTTGTCGAAATTGGGTCATGGCTGTGTGGAGCTTTATTATATTATCTCTACTTTTGTGTACCTTAGAGATTTTTTCATAATT